AATGTTTCACCGAAACGGAAAAGTTATCGGGTTACTTCTAAACTTTTCTCTCTCATCTTACGCTTGCGGTAAAGGATTATTTTTCGAGAAGGAATCAGTCAAAATTCATTAGTAGAAATAAATAAGAAAAAGTTTTTTTTGAATATATACAAATCTGTTTATTTAAATTTTGCATGGAAAGTTTTAGCTTGAAATAATTTCGAATAAACATTTTTTTTATTTTTGTTACAATTAAATATTTCATTTAATTAAAGCAATAGCTATTTTGAAATTCTAAAAGCCGCGATTGTCTCATAATCTAAATCATAAAGTCAAATATTTCATTTGCAAATGTATGCGCGATAATTCTAATTAACTTAATTGTTGTTTAATTACTAAAGGAATTAGTTAGATTTCAAGCGCGTTAATTTTCTTAAATTGTCTTGTTATTAATGTACCTACTTGGAAATAATTTCCAAATATTTCGGTAGGTAATATCATTTTGATTTGAGATAAATTAAAAATAAAAATTAGCAATATATTATCCAATAATTATATAACATTTGAATTGAATTCTATTCCGTTTCATCGCCGGCGTAAACATTTCGTTAATTAGAGTCTAAAATAACACCCCAAAAACTTCCCTGAGTTGATGCGCTTTTTAATGAAGTTTTAAAAAGTTTCCGGGTATAATTTCTTTTCTATAATAAAGATGTAATTTTTCTCGTTAACAACTTTTACAACTTCAATTTCCCTTGGATTGAACAAGTTTCAAAGCGCAATGCTAAAAGTTTACTTTCGAAAATTAGGGAACTATTTCATTAACATTTTGCTTGTATCTATTTATACATCATCCTATGGATTGAAGCACGCATTTGGTCATTATACATGGTGATTCTGTTAACACAACGGAATAAAAAATCACCTTTAGGAGTATAAGAAGAGTTGTCTATTTTAATATACTTCTTGATTTAATAGATTTTAAAAATGGTGGTCGGTTTTGCCAAACAAGTTTTTTGCAAATGTAATTTTACAAATGTATGTTTTCAAAAAACTCTTTTACATAGATGTCCCTGTTATCACCGTAGCGATGTAAAAACGAAGTAATAAACCAAACAATAAAATCTCATTTTATAAGACTCTAATTTTAAGTGAATCCAAGCGACTTACTTCGTTTTTACCCGCTCCGCTCCCTTCTTAGGGGTTCGTTCCCGGCTGTGTTCCCGGTTGGAGAGTCGGCCGCGTTTATAATATTTCGTTAATTACAACCCGGGCACCGTGTCGCGGATAACTAGATTTCAAAGCGACGAAGCTTAAACAGTCCATCGCCGCATCTTGGTAATCAGATATTTACCTGCCCCCCGGCATTTATTTCGTAATTACATTTCGGTCTTCGAGCGAGTCCCCCGACTTACCCGTTAACTTCGCGAGGGGGCGAGCGAGGTGTACCTACGTAAGAAGATTGAAATGATAATATAAAGCGGTATTAGTTCGAATGGAAGTTTATTTTCAATTTTGAGAATTTTATGATCTTAGTCAAATCTTTATATGCAGAAAATTAATAAAATATTGTGGCATATTTTGACAGTTGCTTACTCGCTTAATTTTCGGCATATTCTGTAAAATATACTTTTTGAACTTGAAAAAAATTGTCAAATAAACGTGAAAAGGGGAAAACTATTGTGTATGGAAACTTCATAATTACACAAAAGTATAGGTATGCTCTTAAGAGCTAATTTAATGAGTTTAAACCTTCAGTTGAAACTTAACTGAAGCCGGAGGTTGAGATGAAATTTCCCATTGTTTCAGCAATCTCAAATACCCGGTTAGCCTGGCTTAGTTCCTATTTTAATTAAGATACACATTTTTAGTTATTCACAGCCCTTAATTATTAATGACTTCGTTTTATATAATTTAATTGATTCGGCAATATTTTACATTTAATAAAGGTTTCACATTTGATTTCTCAGAAAAATACATAATTTAGGAAAATTCCCAAGATTGAACACTTATTATCTCGGCAAATATAATACAATAGGCGCTAATAGCAGTATTAAGGAAGGGAGCGAAAAAAGTAATTCAAAGACAATATAATCTGTTTACACAAATTGCAAGTACTGTTTGCAGGTTACATTTCCGACGGGATTTCTCCCTTCGCCATCAAGTTCCCATCGAGAAATCCCTCATAATGGGTAAAAATAACGTTAATTTGTTTAACGATGCGGAGGGTCGGATGCTCCCTGATTTTGATTGACTTTGTGCCGAACGAATTTATTTACCGGCACTTTCCGATTTCGACCTTATTTTCGACGCAGAGACGAATTACCTCCGCTTCTTCTTTCCCTTTGCCAATTTCGAATAAGTGATTCCAGTCTTTTCGTTCGTATTTATTTATTGGGAAAATTTTATGCAATAAACCAAGAGATTCTTTATGAATTCGGCCATAAATTGTGCGGGTAATATTGTGCGAAAGTTATGCGAGTTTGTAAAATCTATGAGCTTTTAGCACCGGCTATTTTCGTATAAATCTTTCTATTATAACAAGTTATAAAGAATGTTTAACTTTTTTTAAATAAAATTGAATGTTTCACTATAAATTGTTATAAGTTAATAATTGCGATCAAATAAATTAATAAATTTCTTACATAATTTGTGCGCACAAAATATATCTTCATAAAATCCTCAAAAAAAATATAATTTGTTTAACCTGCTATGTATTATTCTTATGTAATATTTAGCATGTTGTTGTTGTTGTTGTTGTTGTTTTTTATGCAGGCGGGTCTTTTCAGCCCAATCCTAGATCTAATGATCCTCTGTAGTTTCCGCTTAAATTAGCATAGTCGATTTAAAAATTATTATTCTTGCAGAAACAACATCGGAAAAAAACTAAAAACGTCCTTTGAGTAGGTAAATTTGAATTAAATTTGATGTTCTGTAAAAACCTCCCTGATGTACTTTCCATTAAAATCTTTAATTACTTTAATATTAGATTATATTAACATATGCATCAATGCATTTTTTGTTACTCTCATTCATTTTGCAAATACGCATTTATAGGGTGGTATTAATTTACTCCTATATTTCCAAAGGAATATTACATGGTATATTATTCATATTCCTTTGGAATATTCATAGTATTCCAATTACGTTCTGTAATGTGTCACCAAGAGCCTACGGCGTGCATTGCAATTTGTTTGTTATTTATTCAATTACTTACAGGTCATCATCAAGTGAAATGATCCTACGTTCAACTTCACTTGGGTTCCTGCCCATTAACAGTTTGCAAAATTAATTAACGTTGTATTGCAGCGTAGCGGCATTCCCTGTTTTCCCTACTGGTATATTGTTTATAATTAGATTGTTTACTTTTGTTTGATCTATAGGTAATTTAGTTGAGTTTATTCCTAATGGAGTATACGTACAACCACTGATGTCAATGCCGACCTAATGAAGTTTCAAAATTCGTTATCAATGTGTTACCAGCCAATAAAAGGTTTACGCTTGGTTCAAAGCTTCGGGAGAATGCGTGTAATGTTTCAACTTGTATTTTACGGGTCACTGACGCGTCAAACGACAGAAGCTTTTAGCGTTTGGAACTTCCAATATTAAAAATTTTAATTGGAGTGATGTCAATATAGAGGGTTGATAATTATTTTATGAGGTTTTGCAGTTGATTGTTTATGATTTTATTAGAGCATCAATTTGGTAATTAGGCTTAATAGGATATTGCAAAGCGGAGATTGATTGATAAGCGGATAAATTGGAATGTGGATCCTAGAAGTTCCGGGTTTCGAGACATCGTAACCGATTTTAAGCTGGTTCGTTGTCGACGAAACCTGCAATGCATAGGATATTTGCAACTATATTGACGATAATTTGTCCAAAGAACAGCACTACCTATAGAAATACTTTTACCTTGAAGATGTTTTAGTCTTAAATTTACCTCTAATCAGTAAGTAGGATAAATAAATAAAGGTATCATTAAGCATTGATAGTGGTATGTGTAAAAATTGTGCCTACATACATGTACAAATAAAGAAAAATTATTGATCTTAACAGTATATCACAACAAATGGAAACTCTGAAAGCACTTGCACGAGTAACTCTCGTGCGTTTTCCTGAAAGACCTCAACTATACCGGAAAATTTGAATCGAAATATCAGAAATTTAGTGAATTTTGGTAACTTTCAGTGACTTAGGTGAAATTCGTGTAAGCATTTTCGGACTTTCTAGTTGTTATGAAATGCACTTCAACATTTTGGAAAGTCTTTATAGCACTCAAGTTATACTTAGTAATAATGAAATTATATTATCGTTTTAACGGGAGTTTATTGATGGAATATTTCAAACTAGTTGAAATGTGTCGAAACTTTCCGCTCAAATAAAATAAAAGGAGTAATGAGTTTACTTTGTAGGTATGCATGTTCTAACTTTTAAACAATAACCATCTATTATATTTTACCATTATTTTCCTAAAATAAACCTCCACAAAATAATGCAAAAAACTATTGCAAAAACTTTTAGATAAAATAAATAGATTCATGCTGCTATCGAAATTTTTACATAATATTAAAATATTGAATATTTGGATTGAGAATTTTTTATGATTAAATTATAATTTCTTAATTATGAAATTTATATTTTATAGGTATTATTTCTCAATATTACTAATTAACCAATAATATTATCAATATTATTTCTAAGTAACTTCATAATTTTATTAATTAAATTTTACCTCAGGTACCTTAGGTATACAATGCTTTTCAAGGAAACCGTCCATTAGAACTTATATTAGGAGTTCCTGAAGAGTTACGAATCTGAAAATTTAGGAGCAAGGTATAATCAATGTTGTGAGTTTTTCTAAAATATTTTCAACCGTATATGACTTCCGGTTATACCGGAAATAGATGTCAACTTTATTATATTTCAAATGGAATGTATACCATTTTTGCCAATGTTCTCTACATTCTGCATGATTTAAGTAAAATTCAAAGAAGATTGTAATCAAAAGTAAATCTGGCTTCAATTAAAAGAAAAATTTATTGCGAAACATTTATAAAAAGTCTGCGAATTTTCTGATTTATCGGTGATACAGCTAGGTATAAGTATAACGTTCCATCAAATGATTCGTTTTATGTAAGAGACTCGCTTTGTTGTGCTCTTAAATCTGGTTTAATAGGTCGCTTGTACACGTGTTTCCAGATTTCGTAAAAACAAACGGTGGCCTGGAATCTGTAGGAAACAACTAGTGGCATCGACACGTGCGTAATTATATTCCAGGCCAGTATTCCGTAAAAATCCATTTGATTCGGATGAAAGGCTGAACGGTTATTTTTTACGCGGTTAACAACCTGTAAAATTAAATGAATAAATATTCAATAATAATTCAAAACTTGAAAATATATTCTCTATTTTGTTCATTTGAAATTTATTATTACTTACCCATAATGAAATATTTATTAACAATAAAAAAGTAATAAGTTGCCTTCCAGGTTTACGATGAATGTGCTCTGCATTTGAGCATCGTCTTCGCCAGGCATCCAGAATAAATGCTGTTTGTGATGAACTTTGAATCAAGGCTATTAAAGGAGTCAGTATTCTGAAATAAATATGTATAAACATCCATAAAATCTACATAAGATAAAAAAAAACGTTAGTATGTTCAACTGAATGGAGTATATAAATTATTATTCACTAAATGGTGGCTAAATTCTAGCCACCAGCAATGTGGTGGAAGTTAGCCCCGCCTTTTTTGAAAAATCAAAAATTCAATGTTGTGCTGTATTGTGCTCCTCATGTGCTATTCTGTGCCGCTAATATTTTTTATAATTTTTGAAAAACAAAAAAGTTATACGTTTTTCCTTTTTTTTTAATTTGGCCGGCCCCGCCATTTTGGTTAAATTTAAAATTGAATACATTAATAAAATGTGTTATATTTGTGCTGTCTTGTGCCGTTAAAATTTTTTTTATTTTTGAAAATTAAAAGTTATTAGGTATGTTTAACATATTTTTTCCCTCAAAATGTTTAGTTAATCAAAAATTGAATGTTGTGCTGTATTGTGCTCCTCATTTGCTATTCTGTGCCGATAATATTTTATATGAATTTTAAAAAACAAAAAAGTTATACCTTACTATTTTTTTTTAAATTTTGGTGGCATACAACATATTTTGTAATTACTAATTGTTTGCTTTTGTACCTTTTAATTGAATAATTGATGAAATCTATTCAATGGTGGGGAAATATGTTGTATCTACGTGTAAGGAATGTTATTGTTAATGTTATTTGTTAATGTTATTGTTATGGCGGCATCGTTGTTTTCTTTTATGTACCAAAGGCGGCAAATGTTTTTTGCCTTTTAATTTTTATATTTTAATTAATTATATTGGAATGTCTATCGCTGGAGAGGGAAGCGTCGAGATTCGGTCTCAAATCCATTTTTGTAGTCAGTATTTATAATATATTCATTGTTACACTACTCCAACAGTATTATTATAACGCTTATCGTACCGATATTTTAACGATTTTAAAGAAAAACAGTTCGATATAATCTTTTAACAGCACAAGAGAGCACGAATACATTTTAACAATATATTCAATTTTTAAAAGTTCACCGAAATGGCGAGGCCGCCAAAATTTAAAAATAAAAATTTATAACTTTTTTGTTTTTTAAAAATAATAAAATATATTATCGGCAGAAAATAGCACATAAGGAGCACAATGCTTCAACGACACAAGACAGCACAAATATAACACATTTTAATAATATATTCAATTTTTAAATTAACGAAAATGGCGGAACCGCCAAAATTTAAAACTAAAAATAATAACGTATAACTTTTTTGTTTTTTAAAATTCATATAAAATATTATCGGCACAGAATAGCACATGAGAAGCACAACACAGCACAACATTCAATTTTTGATTTTTTAAAAAAGGCGGGGCTAAGTTCCACCACATCCACCAGCATTAAAATAAATTAAAAATTTGGTGATAATATTTTTAATAAATCCACCAAAAATTACTAAATCATTTTCTATGTGTATAAAGTCAGGTGGAAATACAAAATGAGAAAGAGTTAATAACTGCAACACCAGTGTATTAAATCTTATTTAAATACGAGTATTATCGAATAAATTTAACAAAGAGGTAACTCAAATACTCTAATCAAGCAAGTTAGAATCAATTTACCTCATGACACCGTTCAAGTCGAAATCGGTCTCCATCATGCAACCGCCTATAAGTAAAAAGAGAAAGTAGAAAAAGACCCCGTACTGGGTGATCATTAAAAGAAGGTGCTCCAGCTTCAAATCAGTATTAGTGACATTAATTTTAACATCCCTCAAAGCCAAGAACGAAAATAGCACTGCTATCGTTGCGGTTAGATAAAGCGTTCCTTCCCAAATATTAACCTAAAACAAATAAAATTATCTAAATGAATGAACTGATTGTTCAAATGTTCCAATCTAAATCGTCATAACATTCAGTATTTAAATTTAATGATAAATATGGTAATTTGAATTTTAGTTATGAATTGAAAACAGGATTAATTATAGAAATATATGTTTCATATTTTTTGTGCTTTTCGATTAATTTATTTTACATATGCATACCTAGTGAATCGCAATGTTTGTAGTTCCGTAAAAACAATATTTCTTTTGTATGTACAAGCAATAATCTAATATTACAAATAATTACCAACAATTCTCTTACTAAAATGATATAAAAGGTTTTACCTACCTGCAATAATGCAATTTCAATTTTGTCTTCGACAGGTATGAGTTCGAAAAACATTATCAGGCTGATGATTGTGACGGCGAGCAACAATATGCCAGCGAACAATCCACGTTGTGTTTGAGCACAATCGACGGAAAATTGACTTTGACTCCTTCCGTAAATTACGTTAGAGTCACTTTGTCTTGATATTTCAGCTGAAAGGTCTCTAGAAGCTTCTGGAAATTAGATTCAAAATATAAACAAAATTTAGGTCTCGGGTCTTCCGCCTATACCCCTTCATAATCGAAATTGAACTTAAAAGCCACGACAAATATTTTTGATGTCAAAGAACATGATGCAGTACTTAATAATATTTGCCTTTGGATGGTAATGTTCGTACGGTACATCGGAAATTGCATGAATGAGCAATTTAAGGAATTACCTACCATGTTATTATGCAAACTCCATAATGGAATGTTAATTAAGTGGAAACTTATTTAAAATACATATGTATAAAAGATTTTTACAACTATGTTACAAATAGAGATTCTATTACCTTCCTTTTTATTGGACGTACTATTTTTCCATATGAGTACCAAAATCATGGCACATAGTAGATTATATTCAACAGCACATGATGCCAAATGCGGCTCCAGTTTAGCAAGGGTAGAGGTAATCAAATTAGATTTAATGCAATTCTGCTTTTGCTCGTATTGAATTCTATTGGAGAAATAAAATACTATTTTGTGTTTATTCCAATATTAAATAGTAATAGAAATATGTATTATACAGTACGTAATTAATTTATAGAAACAAAATGCTTTTGACTGCGCAATTTCAAATATTTCTAATTTCATTTAATATCGCTATATAATTTATGTAAATAAATTTACTGTAATATTACAAGTTTCCAAATGAACTGCAAACTTTAAATTATAACAATAAATACATTACCTGGTTATTTGAAGAAGCCTGTTCTCCTCCAAGGCAAGAGTAATATTTCTTGAACTCGATATATGTATATGTTTGTGACTATGTCTTACAGTTACAGAGTAAAAAAGATCTTTAATTGTACTTTCTATTAACACATGAAACCAGTCACTTACATTTGTAGCCACCAAATGCATAAGTCCAAATTTCGAGACCAATTGGCTTTTTTGAACGTCTAAATACTGCAAAGACAAATTAAACTTATATGAGGCATTTTTAATAACACAGTGAAGTATTCATAAACTTACGTTGCTTAAAGAAAATATAAAAAGCATCTGTAGTAAAATAAAACTTGATCGAGCTGCTGGTTTTATAGCTCTAATTGACGTAGGACAACCTTCATTATTGTTGAATTCAAAATATTGGCCAAACTGAAGGGTTGCGTAAATAAATGAACCTAATCCAAATCCTGGAATGTAACGGGATGCAAAAGGAATAATATAGAAGCATTATTTTAATACCTACAACTCCCAGTCTGAAATAAAAACTTCCATATCTCGCGTACGAATTTTTCTTATACATTTCCATAAGCTCGTGAGAATCTCGATATATTTCATAAATTAATGATTTAGTCCTCAAATGCACGGCGTACATGTAAAGAAAAAATAATATACTGCCAGCGTATAAATATATGAAATATATCTGAAAGAAAATTGTTAGTTTTCCATAAAATTTGTACTCTACATTATATTCACTATACTACATATTTTGAAGAAACTCAATGCAAATCCTGTCAAACTTTATGTTCCTTAGGTACTCACATCATGTTGTTCAGATCCTCCAGTAGTGATTGATCGTGTTATGGAAAATGCTATCCCTATTATGACTAATAATTTTGCGTAGAAAGCAGAAATTATATAAGTTAATGCCTCACTAAAATAAATACAATAAAATTATATAAATAGTACAATATTTAAAATTAATAAATCATGAGAACGTAGAAGAAATATTAAAAGTATATAAAAAGTACTTTTAAATTCGTTCATCTATTATAGTGAATAAAATAAAATATGTGCTATGATTTTCAGATATACAATTTATTAGAAAATTATTCGTATTAGAGAATTCGTATTGAAAATAAACAGGGGATTTCCTGGAACAACGAGAGTATGAAAGAAAGCTCCAGATTAATCGTTGCGAATTCGGAAGACCTGATATCGCTTTTATTGTGCTGCTCTGCAAGAAGTATTCAGTGTTGACTGAAGGTAAGAAAAGAGATATTCATAAATACGTAATATCCTAATTATCGATTAATACCCTGAAACTGGGGCAGAACGCAGTGAGGTACGGTACACACATAGAGAACAATTAGCTCTTGTAATTCCCGGCTAGTATGCATTCCATGTAATACTTTGCTGTGGTTAATTGTTATCTGACGCCTAATTAAGTTGAAACTTATAGGCTTTATTTCAAACAAGTTGTGGAAAATTCATTTACACTCAATTTACATTCAAGTTTAGAAATTTGAATTAAATTCAATAATTTAAAATGTGCTTCAGAATTATCTTTAGAATTATTAAAAGTACCTACTTATACTATTAGAATTTATTAGACAGCTTTTGTTAGTATTAAAAAATGCCATAATAAATCGACTTGGGTACTCCAATTTCAAATATGAAATTAACTTAAACAGTCTTCTGAAATTATCACATTTATATTTTAACCTTATCATTAATTAACAAAAAAAATGGGAATAAATTCAGAGGAAAAACAAAAATAATTGAGTCTCCGCCGCTGTAGTCAACCTTACATAATGAAGAGATTATCTCTTTGTACTCACTCTTCCAATTGTCTCCTTTTCTTCTGCTGCCGAGGCTGAGGCTTCTGCCTCAATTCAGGCAAATATTCAATGTCTAGTACCGGCAAAGACTGATGTAGCCGTTCTCTTTGCCTGCAATATTAAAAATAATAAAAGAACTGAAAATGCGTCAGCGTTTCTTACCTAATATCCATCTGAAGTGCTCTGAAATTGGCCATTGCAATTGTGAAATGTTGCTTTATTTTTTATATTGTTATTCGACACGTCGACGGACGAACATTTGAAGAATAGTGAACGTGTTAAAATTTTAGTTTAGGTAATAATTCTTTGTGTAAACAGTATCTGATTTTTGTGTTTTAGTAGACGAGGTGTGCTAAAATCGTGTGTTTGTATAAGAAGATGTTTCGAATGATTGGCATTGAAATCGAATCTTTTCAAGATTGGAAGTATTAAATATCATTCTGTAGAAGTATCAAACTATATCTCATGAACACTAGACTGTTAATTTTGTTTACAATTTACTTGTTAATGAGGTGTAATTGTTTATATTGATTCTATGATTTTCCAATACCTAATAATGATATAAATCAAATATTTGCTTAAACATGTTTTAAATTTCTCCTAAGAACAGATAGGAATAGGAACAAATTTACAGTATGTCTTATTTTGGATTTAAGACCATTACAGAATAGAGCATGGGTGATACAAAAAATGGATACCTAGCTATGTTTGGGTAGAAAGTTTACAATTTTATCGATTTTTGCAGGAAATTTGAAACAACACTCTTTTAAATCATTTATCCATTTATATATTTTCGTAATATCCATTATATTTTTAAAGGATACAGCTACATGAATATAGAAATAAAATAGAATCGAATCTTACTGTTTTTTGAACGACATTTTGTTACGGCACTTTGCGACTTGTTACTATTGTAACTATTGTTACACTTTGTTACTTTGTTACTATTGTTACGTATAAAGCTTGATAAACAACTAAACCTACCCGCATTTCTCACTTTAGCAGCGGGTAAACCTAGGTTTAGTCGTTTATCTAACTTTACCGGTAACATTATCACAAATCGATTGTAATAAAATTTTAATTTGAAATTGATCTAAAAATTGGTTTTAAGTACATCCCATACATCTCTTTAGACAATGTTCATTTTTTAAATACACCTTTCTGCAAAAAAAACCTTTTTTTAATTCATTACTCTATAGTTGCTAATAAGGACAATCTATAAATATCATTTTTGTACGTAAAACGAGAGAAAGATATTGATAAAACACACAACAAGATTCTTTTATTTGCTTTTTCATTCATATTAAATACACATGCACCCACACAATTTTTAAAATATTGGAGGATTAAAAATTTCATGAGCACTATTTTTAATGAATTTACATTATACAATAGGCAAGTATATAGCATTTATGTAATAAATAATAATCATATCTCCACAATAATCAAAAGTTGGCATTGATTTACCTAAATAACAACTATTTTATTATAGTAGGTATCATTTGCAGTTACTGAAAATAAAGAGATTATCGAATGTAATATCACCATTAAATGAACTATAACAGCGTAGAAATTTCAAATAAATACGCTATAATGAGGGGACACAAACCAAAAGCCATTCAATGTCTAACCAAACTCATTCGAAATTCATTAAAAATTTAAAATCAATTTCATTACAACGCGGCTTTCGTCCCTTCAATATATTGAGTAACATGTAAATAACACCAGTTTAGTTCGCTGAAGATGTAATTAACATACTAAAGCAATAATGTCTATTCCGCAAGTCCAATTAATTCTGCGGGTAGCTCGTATAACATCATTATACCGTAGTTCGATCATTACAATCTGTTTGATGAACTAATAGCATTTTACCTACCGGACAGCAGCGGTTTTTATTCGTTCCACAACCATCTGTAATTTTGTCATAATTACATCGAACTATTTAAATATTAATGTAATATTATTATATTTATTATGAATTATTACGATAAATAAATAATGTGACAATTAGTTAAGCATTCAAAGATTTGATGCAAAAACTATGTTGTTCATATAACTTCATTGAATTTACCTATTAACTATAGGGATTATGAAAAGCCACATAAAAACTAAAATTAAATTTATTTATTATAAAAAATATTACTTAAACTTTATAAAATTAATTTTCTTGGGTAAAGAAGAAACCTACTTTTCTACATTAAAGGAAATAGTTGGGCGTCGTATTTCGTTTTAATCTTATATGCAGTCTTCCAAATCTCGAATAAACAAATAGTCGAATGAAATCTGTAGAAAATAGCCAGTGGCATGGAAACGTGCGTTATTATTGTCCACGCCCAATCGCCGAAGAAATTCAAATGACTCGGTCTAAATTCGGCTCTGTTCTTCTCTAATGTATTTATAGCCCACATAGCCATATTAGCAACGATCAAGAAAGTGATTATCTCCCTTCCGGGTTTGTGTTCCACCTGTTCGATACTCCTGCATTTTCTCCACCAAGCGTCCAACACGAAGATGGTTTGAATGCACGTTTGAATGAAGGAAAATATTTCCACCACCACTTCGATATTGTTATTAGAATCGTTAGTGAAGCAACAGCCGATGATGGAAAACACGCAATAAATAAACATTCCTGTTTGAGCAACCACGAGCAACGTGCAATCCAATCCCAGTCCGGAACTGTTTCCTTCGTGACCTAAAATGCAGTTTTTAGATTTATGAGTTGGGAAAATGTAGACATCGATTTTTTTCATTACAAAAGAGTGCAATTGCAACAGCGATTTGATTAACGAATTGCACAATAAACATGGTCTTCAATTTACTTGATTAATCGGATTGGAAAAAACAAAATTCGAATATTTTGCAAATAAAATATCTACTTACCGATTCTTCTATCATATTTTAAATTTCTCATTTTTAACATAGCTAATAGAGCAGCTAAACATGTGACAACATACAAAATTAGTTCTACCACATTCACTTCGAATATAGCAATGTTTTTATTTGTTCTCTGGGTATTTGTTAACACGAAAAACATAATCAGGGATATTATAGTCAACACTATTACCTAAAATCAAATCCAGGCACATGTAATTTGTAGGACAAGCTCCTAAGTAATACTGTAAACAGAACTCACCAAAATTCCTGCAAATAAACCCTTATGGGCATTCGAGCAATCGATAGTAAAGTGATGATTTGAATTCACCATTCTACCTCCGAATTGATCTAAAAGAACAATTATTGTAAACTGTTTGTAATCCGTAGCATAATGTGTTATAATAAAGTAGGCAGATATTTACTGAATTTAAAATGAGTAGTAACTCCATTCTGATTTGTATTAAACCTGACGTTTTTGTCACTATCTCCATCTACCTTCATTTTCACTCCTTTCCACATTTCAAATAAAATAACTGCACATATCAAGCTATATTCGATGGTACAAGGAAACAAAAATGGACTGGCATTTGCCACTAATGTACTCATGACAAGACCATCTTGGCAAACGGATGAGTCGTTTTCGTAAGTAGTTGCATTTTTATGTTCTAAAATATGGATAAAATTAAAATACAACAATTAAATATCTATATATTTTAAACTAAAGTTAATCGAATATTAGCAAATATGTTACCTGCCAAATGGATGATTTCATGTTTCGTTTCTTCGACTAAGACGTCAAGCCATTCGCAAAGATTAGTTGCAATCATATGCATGATTCCAAATCTTGAAACTAGTTTGTGTTTATTGAAATCGATTTCCTGCTCAGAAATTATTACATGAAGGAAAAAATTATTTAAAACATCTATACCTACTTAGAAATATCTAATACATTAAGCTTTTCCAATTATAGGCACTAAATTATAATTTTCTATAACTAAGTTAATCTCCATAATCGGAAGTACAGAACGTCCAGAACTTGAGTTGAAAATCGAAATTGTACAACAACTTTGTTAATCTGTTTTGGAACGCTGTTAGTTATTTCAAATCCGTTAAATGTTAGACGATCAAACGGTATGAAATGTCTACTCACCTTGCTGTTAAGAAATATAAACTGAACTTGGACTAGCGTAAGAACCATTCTGGCAACAGGAGTTACGGCTTGAAGAATATCGGGATTGTTGCATTCTGGTCTGCTTTTAAGCTCGAAGTAACGACCGAATTCCAGCCCAGAGTATACCATACTGCCAATACCAAAGCCTGCAAAATTTCTTCAATTTATTTTAGATCTTAGATCTAGAGTTTTGTGCTCAAAACTACGGGTATATTAAACATCCTCATAGGAATAAACTGGTATAATAATTAGCAAAGGTGTAAAGCAATCTCTGATGTATTCAACACATGCAAATGCCGAGTTAAACATAATTATTAATCAATTACGATTATCATTTCTGGCAAACAATAATAATTATTGTAAATCGCATTAACTGCATTCGGACTGCAATTTCGCAGCAGCCTCGTGTAATAATCCTGGAATTTATCCAATAATTAAACCTAGTGAACGCAGTTTAGCCATATCGATTCACTTCGGATTGTGGTATTAAGTCAAAACAGTTTTTAATCTGTACCTCTAACTTTAAAAAAATATTTAAACGTTGCAAAATCGTTTAATTGCGTACGTAAGATACAAAGTGCAAGGAATTTTTATGATGCGACGGTTACCGTTAATAAAGCACTAATTAAAAAAATGTTGGGTATTGCAAAATAAAATTACCTTTGACTATGTATATTGATTGGTAATCACCTTCAATCCGTACCAGCTCCAGTGTTGCAAAGCTTAAATACGCTATTCCCTATTTTTAGCCTTCGCTACATTTTCAACGTAGGAAAACGTAACTTTTTACGCCTGTTAGTAAATGGCTGCAGCTGGCTTTTACATTATAACAATGTCTTCTCCTTTGACATTTAATTTTATAGCAAAGAAAACTTGTCTTTGACACAAACAAATTTCTTTAATCAGCTAATTCATTCATTTTGTAATTACTAATGTAAGTACAAGAGTATACAGGAAAATACGTACCAATAGCTCCTAATCTTAAGTAGAAACTTCCATATTTCGGAGCTTCCAAGGGTGGCTTTTTAATCATTTCCATTTTCTCCTGGTCACCTGGAACATTTCTTTTCAAATATAAATTTATTTTAAATTTAAATCGACTCTAAGAAGGACCAGGAATATAAATGAACTTACCGTAATTATTAATCATGTCTTCGAGCGCTTTTTCTTTGACAAAAGTTGCGTACATGTAAATTACAAAGCCGATACTTCCAAAATAAAGGTAAAGATAAAATCCTTGGTAATAAAAAGGTGCAACAGTGTTTGATAAAACTTGTATTACGGGAAACGCCATTCCTAATACGACTAACAGTTTCGCATATAAAGCCGACAAAATAATAGAAAGTGCATCGCTAAAATTAAAGCAATGTATTAAATTTCCATAAAAGCGTTGATATTTCATTATTTTTTCACTTACTTGCCGTATGCCCTATTCTTCTCTACTTTTCTCCGCTCCTTCACTTCGCAGTCTTTTTTTGGCATTTCATTAGAATCATTGAATAACCTGAAAAGCGCAGACATTTTAGCTATGGTTCTAAAAACATATTATCTACCCATAAATGTTTTATTCGCATTGTTCCCTCACACTTTCAGGTAAATTCTAAATGAATATTAACTTGAACTTGATTATATAATTATGATGAACATACAAGGATATTATAAAAATAGATACTTTGTACTTTGTAACAACTTACTCTATAAATTCAACGATATCAAAATTCTTCTGCACATCCATGTTACCGATAGAAAAATGATTCTAATTCTTCTAATTGTTAAAACTTGCTAATTTATTAGATAAATTGTATGTATACATCAGAATGAGAAAAAATAAAATTATTAACAGAATTACTTCAATAGAATATTGAATATTGATGAGGATGAGTAGTATCTATTTGGTTTTTAAACTGAAGGTCGACAATCAAATGATTTAACATTGCAATATTTATTAATCACACAAAATCAACCAAATGAAAATGTAATATCCTGTATAAATATTTATAAGGTAATTTCTTAATTTGTTTCAAATAAAAATTTTTTGCATTTACAGTAAATACATAAGCAAAAAATACATCAATTAAAAGTGAATAAATGATTGTATAATATTGTAATTTATGCTTAAAGTTACCTACATAAGTAAAGAAAAATGGCATTTTTGTATCCCACTGCCTCACAAAACAGGTATCAAGTAAAAGAAACAAAGTCTTATTAACCAAGTAAATTATTTCACCTCATAATGTATCTCCTCTGGTTCATTACGGCGTGAGCGGCAGATAAAGCCACTGCTTGGGATGGTCGTCTTAGAGCTTGAATAATGGCCGAAGCTCTCCTGGAGCCGCTTCTAGAATTACTAGGCGTCTCAATGTGAGCAAACGAGCATTTCCTTGAAGAGTGGTCGCTGTGTAGTTGTTCATTATTGATAAAAATTTGGGGAGCAGAAGGTGAAGAATTCAGAAAGTACTTGTGACATTCACCATCTGGATTAGGCGAAGGTGGTGGACTGAAATTGTTTCGGACAAATAATTTAGCCATCATAAGGCTCAAATTTACATTTAACATAGTTTTAATACAAAATTCGAACGCCAAATAATTTTGTAATAAGTTTACGAACAAAAACATATCCCTTCACTTCCGCATCAACTTTATATAAATAACAATTAGTATACTTTCAAAACAAGCTTTTACTTTTATATGTATACCTCGAAATTGTATAAAACGCCTTACCTCGTTTCTTCCTCCACAGTGTCCATTAAAACTCTTTAATTATATTCCTTTTTCCTTTGTGGATCGTAAGTTTTCTTTATTAAAAAGTTTAACCAAAAAAGGACGAAACTCTGTACCGTTTCTGTGAAAAATTATTGTTCTTATAATTCAGCCAAACACTAAAATGTAAAATAGTTTGTTTTACTGGCTATCTCATAGTAAAGAGGGTTCTGAAAAATTTCAGTTTAATATTTCGTTTCCTCGTTTAATTTTAATTGAAAACTTAATAACAATATGTGGTTTTAATGAAATCATAATTAAAATTATTCTACCTACGAAGCTAGTGCGTCGTCAGCACTTAATTGGTTATTTTATTTCTAAAAAATAAATAAAACTAAACTGGGGTAACAGGTACATAGAGGGTTCATACAAAGCTTGCACGTTTCGTTTTTTAAAAACTCCTACCCTTGCAATTTATTGTCAACAATAAAAGTATATTTTTTTTAATAAGAAACCTCTAGTATTCTTTATTAAACTATCACAAGCAATGACTGTATACTATTAAAATAAAATGCACTATATTAGATAAAAAAATGAACTTACCAGAATTTTCCAAATTAACCCGATTTTTGGCAGTGGTCAAAAATCTTGTACCATGTAATGTTAAATTACAATTTAATTCCAATTTGTCATTTTTATACTTTTTTTCCAATCACTTTTATTTTAGATTTTTTTCTGTATCCCCGCAAGTATTTTATGCCGGCTTAAAAACTTTCCGCGTTTCAACTTTCCCAACTATCTACGTGTGACTGAGTTTTGTTGATAATGCTTTAATTTTAATAAATTTTTATTTAGATTCAGATTGTTGGTTTTAGCGTGTGCTGTTTAAAAACTTAATGGGCTTTTTACGCTAATCGGTAAAATATTCTCGCTAATTATTTACACAACTAATTTAATACTATTTGTGACTTTTACTGCTGTCGCAAAAGTTCTGTACGAATCGTTGGCTTAGATTTTTATACAACTTTGAATAACAAGTAAATTTTATTGTTAGGATGAGAAGTTCTGCAAGAGTTTTCACTATATTATATAGAAATTTTATAGATATTTTCCAAAACAACAATTCAGTACAAAACTATAGCCTACAATAATAACAGAAAACTCAGGTCAGCTAGGAAATTAATGTGCTACTTCCATCAAACCGCCTATTAATTGAAATGAGCCATGGCGCTCCATCAGCCATTAGCCGTATAATATCCCTTAATCTTGTCCCGGAATTGTAATGGAGGTCCTAAAATAATACTGAAATCGGAAGAGCAAATAAATAACGGCATAATAATAATTAGTGATGGTTGATTACAATTGTACGAAAAATGATACATCAAACAAATCTAATGTCAAAGAATCATGTTAATTTTATGAATGATTAATTTGTTGAACGATTTTCAGTCGCATTTTTAGAAAAAGATAACTACTTAAAGGTATTCTGAAACCTAACTCAAATCTTAATAATTAAATGAGACGTATGTTAAGTATGTAGGTACATTGCAGATAAAAATTAATTACAATTTTTTAAAGTAATTATTTAAATTCAAATTATCCCATACGCATAACCCATCATAATGGATAAAACAACAAATTCCTTTTTTCCTCGTGATTAAACAACATACACATTTATTTCGTATACATAAGTAGATGCCTACTGTTCATAAAATTTAAATTTTTCCTTGGAGCGATTTTCCATCAAATTGTTCCATAACGCAAACTTATATCCGGTTTTCGGATAGAGCTCTCGATGAGGCGAGATTTCCAATAGCCAAAATATTCGATTTAGCGCATTATCGAGCGGTAGATTCGATGTTTCAGCAGAAATTGACTGGTAATTAACTTATCCTGTCTGAACCGAAATCAATCGTCAAGCTCGACATTCGAGTTGCCACTCAAAATAAAAAAGTACGCTCGAAGTGTATATAAAACACGAAAAGGAAACTGCAAAAGAGACATTCGAATTTACATTTCTCGTTTTCTGAAGGATATTGACGATATTTTGAAGCAAATCAATTTTTTTTATTAGATATTTTTATTTTTACATTTCATGCCTAGTGCACAAGCAAAAAATCGACATTAATTTTGTGACTTATTTATCAACAGCGAATACAAAATATAGTTGATGCAAAAATGGAGAAGTGGGGAAAATATGAAGTAATTCAACTACATTGCAATCTACAATATGATATCTCGATATCTCTAATATTACAAGAGATATAAACATTCTTGAAGTAAATTCTTTTGGGTTGGAAGCTATGTATTTTTGAAATTACACCCTGTATATTTTTAAAGCTGTAACGCGAGGGTAGGAAGTCAAAGTTCTGGACTATCGTATATTAAAAATAAACCAATATATTGAATAACTTTATGAATTCGAACAATGTTAAAAAAATCTGATCTTTTGTGTTTTGATCATTTTTTGAGAATTAAAAAAATTATTTGAACTTTTGAAATTCGAAGTTTCAATTTCGATAATTATCGCTGTTAATAAAATTTGCATCATTATTGAGTTTTTAATGCATTGAAAATGTATGTACATTTCATTATATTCCTAATTTATAGTTAAAAATAAATGTTGTGACATTAAACCCGTGCAGTTAATTTGCATATGGATTTTCGAATCGCTTTATTGCCTATTTGTAAATTTCATTTAATCTGTTTATTACACTTATTATGTTATTAGGTATATGCATTTAGGTGGAATAAATTAATAATAAATAAAGTCAAGTTCGATAAGTCTGTTAATGTTTTTCTGTAATGAAAAGATTTTGTTATTTTTAATATTAAAACTACATGAAGAAAGTGATATCTTCTAATAATTTATTATTAATGTGATTAGAATGTGCCTTTTTGAAACATTTTACCACAGAACATACTTAAACAGATCATTTTACCACAGAACATACATAAACAAGAAGGGACATCTCCGTGAGAATTTCGTAGACCACAGAATATACATAAACCTCCTAATATTACAGAACCTCCGCCATCTTTTAGAAATCAGGAGAATTTGTGTATTATCTATAAAGATCCCTCTTCCAGTAGACATCTCCATTCCTTTTAAATTTATAATAAAATTAATCATTACTCCTTTACAAAATTTAATTTTAATACAATTTTTATGAAATCAATTTACCAGAATCAATTAATCTATTCTAGAAACATCCCATTGTCCTAACATGAAACATTTTACTAAATATTTCATTTTTATACGTAACATACATTACATACTATGCATTGAAATCTGACTAATATCGCCATCTGTACGAGAAAAGCATCAATCTGAAGGATGACTAACCAGGATACTTGACGAGAAAATCGATTAGTTCATGCTATGACAAAAAGAGACGTTAGTATAAAAAAATAAACTACTGATCACCATTTATAGTCCAGGTGAATACAGAATGGTGTAAGAATTACTCAATGAAATTTCTATTATAATCTCTTTGTAGTTTATACTTCCTTTTGATATGAGTAATTTATCTTTTGTTTTACAATTTATAGCAGTTGCTAAGTGAAACTTATTTCTCACTGTTCATTGCAGAGACTATTATTAACCAAAACTTTACAAAAAATTTAAAAAGTATAAAGTTTAAAATAGGGTAAAGTTTTTAAAATGAAATTTGAAAAGTCTTGATTCGCTTTTACTAGTGCATATGCCAGTTAATAAATATCCAATTTAAAATAAATAAAATAAAATAAAATAAACAACACAGGTACTCACAAAATTTAATCCCACTTTATTTCCGAAAATATCCGCTAACCTGATACTGGTCGAATTTAAGCGGTCTCTTAAATATTCCCGTTATATAAACTTAATTATTTTTTCTATTTATCATCATCCACCGAGCACTGAGTAAACCACGCAGCCACAGATGGAATTAATTTCTTCCAGGATTCTACAACAAACTTTTCAAATTGGTTCCGGTTACTGTAGAACGCGGAACTCTAAGCAAGTAGGTTTGTGGACCTGCATCCTAAATCATTCATTGAAAATGTAATTGCGAAATTGTGTTAATATTTAATTAGACTCCTTTCGTGATTGCCTTTTATTTTACTTGCAAACAGCGGCGTAGTGGAAGATGACTATATAATACACTTTTTTAACTTTTCATAATTTAGACCAGTGGCGATAGAATTTACTTGTAACTAATTCATAACTAATAGAAATTTACATTACATGTGAATGAGGAGAGAACCTTCTGCCTGTTACTGAATTACTCTACATACATTGTTCTTACATTATAAAACATGTTCCTCGTGTTGAATAATTTTATGTCTCCTCGAATACAGACGATCTCCACTCGCCCGAACCCATATATGTATGTATACACTATACGAGTCCTGCACTAGAATAATATTTAGTTTATTTAGTGTCCGTAACCTAATTAAGTAAATTAAGCAATAATGTCGTACATGACAAACACGAGCAGTAGGGCCGCAAAAGTGGTCTGGGTGCCCGAAGGGCAACAATGAATTCCAACCATTTGGAACAGAATTGGAATTTCCACTGGTCTATCTAACGCTATAATAAACACGCAAACATCCGTACGGGATGAAATAACGATTCGAAGGTAGCTGCAAAAAATGTGCTGCACCTAATAATAAGAAGTTTTTAGTAATCTTTTCGAAATAAATTTTATAGGTCAAACTCCTTTTCAATTCAAATAATTCAAGTGGCAGATGCATGAAGTGTCAGATTATTTTTTGGTGGTTTTATTTTTGTATATTGCATGCTTTAATTTTGAAACCTATTTTGAAGCCTAAATCTTTTCTCTATAACTTTCAAGTTTCTGTAGAATATTAGAATTATTGCCTTCATACACATATTCCTTCTGGCTTTTAGAGCATATTACTATAGCACAAGTTAACCGGTCTTTGGAAAGTAACTTTTACCCGGATCTATAAGAGTAAAACAAGCTAAGTGTCCAAGATATAATACAGTTCTGCCAGTTCCTCAGATTCAATTAGTAACTATCAAAAAGCAGAACGTCGGGAAGTCCGGGGAAGTCAACGGAGCGTGACATATTTGCAACCACAAACGTTGGCATTAGAAAGACCGAACCGAATTCTCCATCGAGAGTAGCGCTCGAACTCGAGCAGAGTCCGGGGCGGCGGGACACATTGCAGATTTAAAGCTCGGGAAGACGGGCGACTGTCGATGGATAATAAATGATCCCTCTACGGCGCCGATGTCGGAGCCGGAAAAGTGATTATCGAGAGCTGAGTAATTGGCACAACTGGAGAATTTGACGAACTCTGATCGTTACGGAAAAATAATATGTTAACAAGAACGGCTGTATTTCGATGATGCGGTGACTCTCTTCAACGTTAAACTTATCCATTAATTATCAGGCTGTGCGTTGTAAATCTTGATTCAGCAATATTTTTTTCTGTAATACCTAAAAATTACAAAGGTAAATAAGTATTATTATCTGCAAATCTGTAAAAAATTTGTAGTTCTGTTCAACTGTAGCATTCGATTCGCTAGCCAAGTTGATGAAGCAAATTGATTGCAAAAAAATGCCTCCGGCGGTATTAAGCAGAAAATTAAGAGTCACTTTTCGAACGGAAATCTAATTTTCTTGTAAATATCCGTTTGACATCACGTCCCCCTCATTCTTGCATACATACGCATCCGATAAAACGACTTTTATATGAAGTCGCAAATCCACTCTGTTAATTTCCGATCAAGATTTTATCGGGACCTTAATGCAAAACTCCGCATTCAGTTTGACAAATGGCTGGATAATTTGGCGTA